CATTTTTAAAGGGTATTTCAGTCAATCAGATGTAAGTTTTGGGATCGTTATTTTACATTTTTAATTTAAACTTTCAATTTTCTTAATTAAAGACAACTGGAAATTACGTAGTACCAAAAGGGTAGTTTAAGGGTGCTAACCCTTTCTTGACTGTAACCGACTCCCGAATCCGACACATATTTGGTAAGACGCAGATCCGGTAAGAAATAAGGTATCCGATCAACCTGTTTGCTTAAAAATAAATGATCGGTGGTGACTCCTAACCCAATTATTCAAGTCGAAGCCCAATTATGAATCCAACCGAAAGACGGTTCCAACAGTTATAGCATTCCAGCATTGTTCTCCAAGCCCTTATTCGAAAAGAGCATAAACAAAAATCGTCTACTTGTTTGTTACATACCCTTATGCTCAAGCAATCAAGCAAAGCATTTATGCCCAAGCTGCAGAGTATGAAATGGGCTTGGAGAGTGGGCTGTCCGAGAATAAGCTTAAGTCCTATGGAATTGGATATGCTATCTGCCCATACTTTATATGATTCATCCCACTTAACCCCATCTCTTTATGCTTTCCCATATCTTATATGTGAATTCTATAATATATCAAGGTGAAGGGGATATATCTTGGCTAATTTTTTATTAGTATGAGATGAATATAAGATAGTATATGTTCGAAAGATTATCAATCATTTAGTAATAAATTCTCAAACATCCATGCAGACGTCGTGCTCGAACCTTAGATATGTAAATATAACAATCATCTTATTAATCATAGAGATCTCTTGATTCGTGCATCTTAATTAAAATTATTTGCAAGGAAAAGTTGGGAACTTATGTTTTACTTCTTTTATTAGATTCGTTGAAGATTGTATATTGGGAATATGTTGGTTAAAATTACATGGTCGAATCATGCTAAGTCTCCTTTAAACAAAGTAGCTACTTAGTTGTGAGTAGGACACTCCTCTTTCCTTTTCTTTGTAGTTAAAGTGGTTGATCTAGGCAAACTGGTTACATATTTTACATATATGTTAACAATGAAACTAAAAATGTTGGGTAAACAATCTCTAAAACATGTGGTTAAAAGTTCAACATCTCTCATTTTCATTAGGTTGTGGGTTCAATATCAAATAGGAGAAAAAATTGTTCTTCTCCCTTCCTTAGGTAGAAATTAAAATGATATCAAAAATTAAATTAATATAATAAAAAGTTCTTCTTCCTTAGAATGAGAGTTATAATTTAGGGATGAAATTAAAATGTTCAAAAATTAAGGACTAATTTAAAATAAGAGTTATAGTTTAAGGACATATTATGTAATCAACTTTAATATTAATGATATCAATTGAACTAATATAATTAAATTAAATTAATTTGAAAAACATAAAATTATTTAATATTATAAAATATTTATTATCTTATATTTATCTAGATAATATATTGTATTTACTCTAGATTTATATAATAAAAATTAATCAATTTGTGTCGGAACCTTCACAAATTGATTTTTTGTGTTCTCTTTAATCGAAAATTTATGAATAAACCAAACGACCTCAGTGGTTAATAAACTTGTTTTTATCCCTTGAGGTCACAAGTTGAGCTTCGCATATGTCAGTGGTATGAGCATTCATTGTCAAATGATTGAAAGACTTTGAACAAATATTCCCTTATACTTACATCAGATTTATAACAAACAAAAAAAATAATATAAATGAATTCATATTTTTGTCGGAATGAATGTATCTAATTGATTAATTAAAAATATAGAGAAATTTAAGCTAAAAGTAATAAGTGAGATATAGCTTAAAGGTGTTATAAACTTATTGCATTAAACTATCGATTTTACCAAGATTAAATTGAAAATCCCAAATTTATTAAAAAAATAAATATGAAAGAAAAATCTGAAAAGATTGAGGGGTATGGTCACCCTATTGTTCTCATCTTTATGAAAATGAAATCACTATCAGTTGAATCGAAAGCTAAACCATAATACATCATCCATGTATGCATCAAATTTGAGGCTTACATTCCAATTGATATATGAATGGCTACAATCTAAAGGGAACTACATATGCTTTCATTTTCATCACCAAAATCCAAAGTCGAATTCAATGTTGTAATGTATCTTCATCAACTCTCACTTATTATTCATTTCTTTTCAAACCCGGTTTCCCTTTAATTTAGGGTCTTGAATCTTGAGTTAATCTTTTCTGTGCTTGGACCACCACCCAGAAATTACAGAGATGCAAAAGTTCAGTCTAATGGCCCTTTTTAGAAATGTTAACATTCGTATACCTTTTTTAAACAGATTTTTTAATAGTCTAACGTGATTACAATGGTAGTATATGTTCATAATCTTTTTTAACCATCGATTATGCATACACATCATGTATACATAGTTACTCGAACTCAAGACTTCATGAGAGAATAATATATTTTTTAACCACTAAAACCGCTTGATAAATTCTTTTGAAACTATTTTTTAAAATCGATTAATTCAAACAATCAAATTAAATTTTAGGTTTACATAAAAAATAACATTAACCAACTATTATTCACTTGTCTATATTATATTATAATTAAACTTAAGATGGATTTAAGGAGAGATATATTATAATGTTGAAATTTGTGTTTGTTATAGTTTTCTCTCAATTTTTGTGTCAATTATCAATTTTTTTCATCTTTATTTGGTTGATGGAAACATAAGTTTTGGTGTTGATCGTCAACCATCGATATTCCTTATTTACTTTTTATTTTCTTCTATTGCATCTTTGTTTTTCCTTTGATTTTTTTAGTTTTTTTATCACTATATCTTTGTGGCACACTTTCCTTGGCCTTTATGACACGTTTTCTTCTGTCTTTTGACACATTTTTTTATTTTTTTTATCGATCATTTGATTGTTCTCCTTGTTTAATTTTTTCAAGGTTGGGTTTGACGTCGCTTCAACTGATCAAGATGTTGCTTAATTGCTATCACATTGATCTTCCCTTCTTTGGACTATTTGATTGGATTTGGATACGCGGTTTGCGTTCGGAGATAGTTTTCTCACTATGCTCAACTCTGATTTGCGATTGTCGGTGGTCTTTCAATAGTTTAATCTTCTGTTGTGGTTTGTTTGTCAATGTTATCAAATCAAATTGTATCTATATTTTGTTCAAGTTTTTTAGATTAGGTTTTAACATTTCCTTGCATGGTCTTTTTATGATCTCAAGTGGTTGATTTCTTGTGTTAATGATTATAGTAAATTTTTTAATTATGTGTTTAGTTTACATTTATAATTGTAAACCTTTATTATAATTTTGAATATGTATTTTTTTAATAAAACTAATAACCAGTTTTCACATAAAAAATAACATTAACGAACAATTAATCACTTTCGTATATTATAAACTAAAGAGGAATTTAAGATAAAAGCTATTTTATTTATTGTTTATAATATTTCTTAACCATTGATGATGCATATACACCTTGCAGATACAACTGCTTGAACCCAAGATCTCAAAGGAGAATAACACTCTTTAATTATTAAGACCACTCAATGAGTTCTAATTACACATCCAAATAGCATACATTATCGTCGTTGGTGTGAAACTGTTTACAACTTGTTCAGAGATTGTCAATGTAATTACTATGTTTAGCAGAGCCACAAATTTGATTGCCGTGGGAAGAGGAATCATAATAAAGGGTTGTTATAAATGGAGATCATAATCCCACGTTTTACTTTCCCGGTTTCCCTTACCGTAAGGAAGAGGGAGCTCTTAGCCACCACAGATGAGCTTCTTGGACTCCAGTTATTCAAAATATCAATGCAAATGCTATACATTAATACACCCTTTACCCTTTCTTCCACGTATATGATATACTTTGTCTTAATCTGTAATACTAAAATGATTCAGTGATGATTCTAGTTTTATGTTAAAATTTGATTATTTGTCTTCCTAATAATATTAGAATATACAAATTAATGACACCGTTAAAATGATGACATAAAATTATTTTCCATATATAATTTTTTACATTTGAATTTAATTTTAATTGAACACGATTAAACAAATCATTTCATAATATTAATTATGTGACAAAATAACAATAAGAAATTCATCATGTTATGACAACAGCTAATGATATTATTATTTTGAATTTACTAATAACCTATAAAAATAAATATCAAATAAAAATAAAATAACAAATCTCAAATTTTTAACACATTAAAAGAAGTGGGAGACGTGGAAGTTGGTTAATTTGATGAGGATTCAAAATGTTGCTGAAAAATTGATGTCCAATTCAATAATGTATCCTATAATTGTGATTCCAATGTGACAAATGATGATGAACCGACGGAGGTAAGTGTTTGGACGTTTCATTTCGGTAATATCACGAAAGAGTCGAAATCGTAAAATAATGAGGGTAATATTTTGGATTACGACATCTTCATTCTGGGTTTGGTCTCTTTCAAATTCCCACAACTGTACCCATTTCATCATGTATAATGGAGGGGGAAGGAACTTATTCCGATTGCAAAGTGCTTTACAATTAATGGGTATTCTTTTGATCAATTAGGGTTATATTTTAAGATTAATCTTAGTTTAAGATGATTACGAGATAAATATTTCTTAATTATTATACATATTATACAAACACAATTATTCGAAGGGAAAATAATCCTTCTTTTCAACTGTTGATGGGTTTTGAACCTTGATTCTTGAACCCTAATGATGAAGGTTTGTCCGAATGGCAGACTGTCAGCTTATACCATTCCAAAAAGGGGAGATATTTAAGTGTATACAAATAAAAAAAAGGGCGTTCTACTTCTACCAAACCTCATATGGAAAATATTGCAGAAAAACTGTTCCAAAAAGGTGGGGTTTTGGAATATAGGGCAAAAACAAGTAGAACATGGACAAATCCATATGGTAAAATGCTGAAGGACAAACAAGATGAAAGTCAATGAACTATATATAATAATCAAATTCATGCGGTAAGACAACGAAAGCAACGAATAGCAATACTATTTTAACCTCAATCCATGTAGGATCTCCATACTTTTTGCTTAAACTGACACCGACCTTCGATGGCCAAGTTAAAAAGAAAAACATAAAGTGCAACGAATCATCTTCCAGCTGCCTTTGGTATATTCACTCCAATAATTCACAACACATCAGAGTCCTTATATTAGTCTTCCAGATTTCAAATTGTATACTATTTTACGGGTTTGTCCCTTTTAGGAAAACAACGTGTGCCTTTGTTCTCCTATAAAGCTTTATCTCCTACTGATCATAGAAAGTCCGCACTAAGAACGAACAATATGTATACCTTGCAAGCTCCGTGGCAAGTATGTCTAGCTTCTTCCTTCCGAACTGTGCTAGCATGTTCCATAGTGGGTTGCACCACCCTCTATGGACCGGAATCTGTCCGGCGTATCTTAACATTTCCCGCCTTTTCCTATGTGACAACCATCTTAATTGTCCAAGATGCTACACTCGGTGATGCCCTGAGAGGTTGTTGGCATGTTTTATGTGCCAGCATTCAAGTAATCTTGCCTTCTATGCTGATTCTCCGGTTGATTGGACCGTCCGGGTTCACCCATGGACTAGCTGCTCTAGTGGTGGCACTTACTTCATTCCTGATCGCATTGCCTGGTTCCACGCACTTGACAGCTAAGAGAATTGCCTTCGGTCAAACTGTGATTGTTTATGTAGGTGCAGTTATTCAAGGTGCAGAAACTGGAGTCATCACCCACCCGATTCATGTTGCGTCAAGCACAGCTCTTGGGGCCTTGGCATCTATTCTAGCCATGCTGTTTCCATACCCTCACCTAGCCTACCGTGAGGTAAATATCAAGCTGATAACGAATGCTTTGCTCTGGTTTGCATGGGATATATCTCTGCTAATTAGATTTAGGGTCACCTTTCATAGTTCTTCATTCTCACCCAATTGCAGCACGAACACTTGCAAGATGTCGACACACCCTTTCATCTGAGCATCAATTTTTTTTCCTTCCACCTACAAGATAATGATTATGTCAATCTCTTTTCTTTGTTAAAACAGAAGGCACACAAGTTAAGTACATAAAAGTCGCATAAAAAACAGACAAATCAATTGTGGGTGTAGGGGTGGGTGGGATCATTTCGAGTTTAGTTCATTTCAGGTTTATGTTAGTTTTAGTTTCAGGTCACTTTTATTTTGAGTTTCACTCAAGGTTTTTGTTTTAAGATCATTTTGGGTTTTTTGATTTGGGTTTGATGTTTGGGTCATCTCGGGTTACTTGTTTTGGTCATTCTGGGTTTGAGTCATTACATATTTGGCAGCTTCATGTTGTAAACATTTAGAGTCAGATCGGGTTGGCTCAACTTTGTGTTGATCGGATCGGATTTTCGAGTTTAGGTACTAGTTCATTATGCATAAACAGGCAAACAGAAAAACAGAACACAATCATGGAGCATCAGATTCTTAATACTTCCATAACAGAAGAATATGTCTATATTCTTTCTGTTACACCATTGTTTGATCAAATTTGGTTTAACAATATCATTCAACTTTATGCTCAAAGTTGAAAAACTAAATACTTCTCGAACGTCTTCGACTCCATTGGAAGACACACTCTTTGGCATGTTGGTCAGTGGTTAGAATAGGAATTAGGTCCCAACTTTTAATATTCAACAGCACCTTTGGTTCAATCAGGGTGTCTAATAAACTGATATTCTCAGAAGTGACTGAACTGAAAACCTTGTCTAATATTATGGCTCTACAGGTAGGAAAGGCATGCAGACGTTATGCAGAAAATGCGTCACACAGGTTTAATCTCTTAGTTGAAGCTTTTTGTGCAAAAGAAAATATGGCAGCATTCAATTTAATAACAGATGCACGGTTATTTTCTAAAGCGGGAGCTAAGCTTCTTGGAAGTATCAAAGATAAACATGTAAGGGAAAACATGATTAAAGAGCTTACATGTTTTTATCTATGTCTGCACTTCTGGCTAGAGTTGAGCTGCTTTTGTTTGCAGAATAACATCATTGTGGTATTTTCTGTTAACAGGAAGGCATGCTTTGGGAGAAACCTTGGTTGAGCTCAGATCCCGGAGAGAAGTTGCAAGAGATGAACATGCCGATTCAAGGGATGGAATTGGCCTTGACCGCTTGCAGTTCCTTCCCAATCAAGATGATGGATGAAGAGCTCCTAGGTGTTGTACAAATTGCAAAGAAGCAGATAGCACTGAAACTTGAGCAAGCGATGTTTTCCGTGCCTTTTGATGCTGCAACAGCCCCAGAGATGAAGGGAGAACATACGTACAAATCATCCTGGACCAGAAAAGCCATTTCGACAAACCATGAAGATTTGTCACCCTTTTTCTTCTTGTACTGTATGGAACTCCATCAAGATGGTCCTGCGTGCATTGTAAATAATGATGCGGAAGCTAAAATACAAGAATCTAATCAATCAAAGAAGCAAGGAAAAAGTAGAATGAAGCAGATGTTGAGTTTCAGCTGTGAAAAATTGCTTTTTGCAATCAAGTGCTCACTTACTCTGGGTCTCGCTGTGCTATTCGGTTTGATATATAACAAAGAAAATGGATATTGGTCGGGACTAACCATTGCCATCAGTTTCGTAACAGGGCGGCAAGCAACATTCACGGTTGCCAATGCCCGAGCACAGGGGACAGCAATGGGATCTGTATATGGAATACTATGCTGCTTTATGTTTAAAAATCTTACAGATTTTAGGTTCATACTTCTACTTCCTTGGATCATTTTCACCAGTTTTCTGAGGCATAGTCGCATGTATGGCGAATCTGGTGGGATTGCAGCAGTTATAGGGGCATTGCTGATCTTGGGAAGGAAAAACTATGGCACCCCAAGCGAATTTGCAATTGCTAGAATCGCAGAGGCTGCCATCGGATTAATCTGTTTCATTGCAGTGGAGATTCTCTTGTATCCTGCAAGGTCTGTGACACTAGCAAAAACACAACTTTCAAGGACTTTAAGGGAACTTCAAGATTGCTTTCGAATAATAGGCCTCTACACCAATCAAAAGGAAAATTCGAGAGAACTGTTGAGAGTAAAGCAGAAGAACCTGAAATGTCATGCCAGGGAACTCCAGAATTTCATTACAGAAGCCGAATTGGAGCCTAATTTCTGGTTCCTGCCTTTTCATAGTGGTTGCTACAATAAGCTTCTAAGATCCATTTACGAAGTGGCAGATTTACTGCACTTTTCAATCCATCAAATTGGATTTCTCTCACAAACATGCCAGATTCTGGGAATTACATGGGAGGAGATCCAAAAACAGATATGCAATGACCTAGAACATCTCATGGACAAAACTGACTATTTATCAAAATGCCTGGATGAGGTATTTCTAGTCAAGTCTCTAGCAGAGATTGAAAAACAGTTGCAAAAGGACAATGTATCCCATGACCTCGAATTGGGAAAATCACCAAATGGGGATCTCTCTACACATTTGGGGTCTGAAGAAAACAACATTTTGGAGATTGGAAAGTCATTCCTTCAACAAACAATCAGAGTTTCCAATACGACCAAGGGTAATGAAGTTGAAGAGATGCTTAAAAGCCAAATGGTTCTATGTCTTACCGGCCTAGGTTTCTGTCTTAATAATTTGAAGAGAGGAGCCACGGATATAGAGAAAGAAATAACAGAACTACTAAAATGGGAGAATCCAACAATACCTGTCCAGTTGCAATCTATATGAGGAATGGCTTAACAGTGACCTAGCTATCAGCAACTTCAAGTACAAATTATTCTTTTTTCTGCAGCTAGATAAAAGAGACGACAGAAAAGAATATATGAACTAGGATTTTCTAAAGCCTGTGTATATACCTATCAAGAAGTATTCGATGCAATTTAATGAAATTCTTCAGGAATTATCCAATCCCTTAAGGCTATATTCAGGGTTAGTATGGATCAAATGATTGACTATCCTGAATTAAAATGCTACCCCCACTTTCTGCTCCAAGACACTAGCTGCATGTCCAACACAATGCAGCCTCAACTGCTATATGTTTAAAGCAGTTGTCTGATGGAATCATTTTCATTAATAGATGCTAAAGCACTTGTGCATGTAAAGAAAAAAAGAAAAAAGAAAAATATAATAAAATATTCTCAAGAAAAACATCAGCAATAAGAAGAATTTTATAGCAATAGTTCGTCAAAGGTTGTCAACAACAATGATTTGTCTCCATTTCTGAAACAACCTGATCTACAAAAATTATCATCTAAAGGTCCATTGCAGACACTTAAAAAGAAGTGCAAAATCTTCAATTGCCTTCATATTTTGGGTCAGCCATAACAAAATGATACGCTATAACCAGAACAAAAATGAAGATTCCAAGGAAACTCGAGAAGAAACCAAGGTCTTGATCATCAAACATCTGAAACATTACAAGCAACAAACACAGAATATATCAGTTAAAGAACATAATTTGCTTCTTATTTCTTTAGGTATACCTGGCAGCCAAATGGAGTAACAAAAGAAAAAGACTAAAAGAAGAAACAAAACAGAAGTACACCAATAACTCTATAATATATTCTTTATTACCTCTTATTTTTTTCCTTTTAATCAGAGAAACCACACATTGTTATAATATAGTGAGGCCAAGATAGAGATAACAATAGATGGTGCAATATTTATGGATATATGACTTACTTCTGCAGATTCGGATATTTAAGGATATTCGACTTAGTTTTAGCAGATTTGGTTATTGTCGATTCAAAAAATATTTGGATTTAAATATTTTAATTACTATCAGCAGCAAATTCTGAACAGATACGAAATACTCATTATCCAAATCCACATTAGTTTTTAAATTTTTTATTTAAAAAAAAATTGGACTTACAAAACAATTCGGGAATTTAGCCGATTACAATTTTTGAAAGATATATAATTAATTCGAATTCAGAAAGTAATATTCAGATTTGATGTGAATACTAAACGGATTTGAATTTTCAAGATAATTGTGAACTTGGATCTGAATTTCACATAAAATGCAGATATCCAACCCACTTTCATCCCAAGAGCAACACATCCGTTATTCAGATCAAAGCATAATATATGAAACTCAAAATACTACGAAGTAAAAATCCATTAAGAAAGATATATTAAAACTTTCTTAAAAGCGATAATGGAACAGAGAATTCAAACTTAACAGTTAATACGCCATGATTTTGAAAATATTATCAGTAAAAAGAAAAGATTAATAGAAGAATTGAGAATCCTTACGGTGAGAGCTTGTGATGAAAGGAAGAATGAAGATCTTGAAGAATTCCCAAACGCTGACGACACTGAAACTAGAAAACACAAGTGAAGAGTAGCAGCGTTGTAAACGAAATTGCTCGACAGTTGCTTCTAAACGACATCGCTCTGTATGACAGAAACAAAAATGACGTCGTATTGGTCGATTTTCTATAAAATTACGGAGAATTGTTTTTTGTAATTATGTGGCTTCTGGGATTCGAGCCCAGGTCTCCACGGCCACAACGTAGATTTCTTACCACTAAACTACAGCCACAATTTGTTATAAAAAAAAAAGAAAATGTTTAAATTAATCCAGTTACGGGTTGGGTTTTTCATGTATGTGTTAGTTTGTATCCTTAAATATTTCTAATTTATATTTAAACAAATGTTATTTTGTCATGCATGTGTTGGACTTACATTGACTTCTCTAAGGACGAAACTAGTAGGGGATGATGAGGGCATCGTTCCCCTAAAATAAGAAATATATACCTGAGTTTTGTTAAGAAATTTAGAAAAATATTATATGTTAATACATAGTAAACTTGTACTTTGATCCTCTCTAAAATAATAAAGTTAAAATCTAGTCTCTCTAAAACCATAAATTTATAACCTAACACAGTAATAAAATTTCATTTTAACTACCATAAAATATTATAAATTAATTTTAATGCCCTTAGATTTTTTTTTTACTTTGCCCATTAACTAAATATATTATTCTTTAGTTTTTCTTTTGGTAGGTTATATTGTTCTTTATTGACTAATTGATATTTGAACATGGTCACCAACTTAAATGAACAAATAGTTAAAATTATGTGTCGATAATTTGGATCAGGTACTGCAGAGGCAAATACAACCCTTCCGACTCAATTTATTTCATTCACAAACGACAGGATTCGAACTCCTGACTTTATTTTTTATATATATTTTAGCATGTCTTGAGAATTTATTTCTAGGTTGAGATTCAATCAATTTTAAAAGATAAAGAATTAAGCATTAACATCACAAATAAGAATTATTAAATCGTTTTTAAATCTAAATTACAAACAATATAATAAAGAATGAATTGAATTGGTGAGAATAATAATCATTTTGTCATTTTTTTATCAAATAAACATTCAAATTATATTATTTTTAAGAATAACACTCATTTTAACTATGTACAACAAAGAAATTGGTGAACTATATGATCTTAGGGTGCAACAATCAATATACCCACAAAATAAAGATCAAGCATTAATAGGCTTAATAATTAATATTTATCGTATGATTAAATAAATTTTATATTTAAACACGCTAAAAGGAACGTTTAAAATGTGAATCATACTTGAATCACTCTGGTGACTAATATTGCGTATGATATTTGGATTGAACTGCCTTGACTAAGTATCATATTTTGTATTTGGTAGTATCAAAGTCAAAGTTTGACAACACTCAAGTCGATGAAATTAATTATAGAATGTGAAACGGGGTAATTACAAACTTTAAACATTATTTTATTGAAATAAGAATGTTGGGTAGGGTTGGGTACATATTGTCATTATATGAACAAATTCATTTTGCATAAATTACCTTGGATCACTCGTCTCTTTTCCCATCCTCTTTTTTACTTGTGTTTATAGTTAGAGCATGTCAAGATAATCTATAAACAGATCTAATATTAATTTATCTTGAGTTTATTCTAATGCATTATCTAATATGATCAAGTATATATATGTCTTTACTAAAAAAATCAACCTACTCTAATTGTTAAGGCAAGTTCTCTCCTCTTCAAATTTTTTATTGTTAATTTAGGGTGATTACAAGGAGTAATATATGTTCTAAAGATTCTTAACCATTTGACAATGAAAGCTCATACCCTTGTATTTTCTGATGCTCGAACCTAGAACCTCTAAGGTAGCTTGGTTTATGCCTCCTCAAAATTTAGACAACATAATAATCTTAACATAAATTATTTACTTAGAATAATTTTATGGACTATAGACTTGTTTAGACTGCCAACTAATATAAGTTATGTCATGCATTAAAAAATCATATAATGCAACTTATATTTAGTTAAATTATTTTGTAATCAATAAGCCGGTATTTGTTTTAACTATAGTTTTGCATGCAATTGCATAGATGAGGACAAAATGTACACTAGAGACAAATAAATAAATATAAATTTATTGAACAAGTTGATTTAGATTAATACAGTAAATAAGTAAAATTACTATCATAAGGACACAAAATCTTGAACATTAAATCCTCATGAGGAGAGAAAAGACTGCATTCTGGACCCATTGATAAGGATTGAAGTGGACGACAACGATAGACAATTCATGATTAATAAATTGTTCATGAAGTAGATAAAAAAGGCTTCCTTGAAGCAAAATTTCCTGAGCTTTTTGGATGGCAATCAAAGTTGAAGGAGATCCATAGCAATTCAGCGCAATCGAAACCTAGAGCAACAGGGGAAAGAAAGGGCACTTGAAGCTAACCCTCAGAAAGTACCTAGAACAAGTTCACTCTAAGGTTTGTACACAATTGTAGTAACGCGTGTAGTTTGTATAATTCAAGCCAAATATCAGTTCATGCACCTTTGCCTGTTCACCATGTGCTTGATCACTGTCCCTTTAAATGATTGCAAAGACATACTGACAATTCATTTGGCAACGGCGACCGTGAAGTTAGTTTGCCCGGGAACTTGAGATACTGTGGCATGACATCGTGAAGTTGCCGTAATTCACACCATAAATCCAATGTATATCATATTAACTATAAATTATTCATTAATAAGAAACGGTGTACTGCAAAATTTACAACATAATTTGAACTCGAATCAACAAAAAAGCATAGAATCAAGGCATGTTTGTTAAGAAAATGAGCCTTTCCCTAGTTGATTCATGCAGAACCAATACACTGTTACATAATATGTATGACTTATCATGAGGTGGTATCTTTTGGTTTTGCATACTCTGCAAATATCACCCTTCCATCGAGAAACTGCAGTGTCACAGAATAGACCAAAGAGACGCCATTGAAGTTAAATTCAGAATTAATCACGAGAATCTTCGAAAACGTTGTTGAAGAATCAAAATGCATTGCAACTATCAAAGTTACTACAGCAATGAAGTTGATAGCCAAATACCGAAAACATGTCATCATTAAAGCAGGGGGAACACTTCCAATAGACAAAACAGAATCCAATATTTAATTGTCTCTACAAATGGTGATAGCACTAAGAAAAGCAGACATACCTGCCCATTCATTCTTTTTATTGCCTTTTCTGCATCCTCAATATTAGAATATCTCACAAATCCGTAGCCTTTGCAGTGATTAGTAAGAGAGGAGCGATCATTAACCACTTTAGCTAAAACATAATAAAAAAATTTGTAAGAGATAAGTCAAACTGAACCACAAACATCAAATTATTGATCTTCGAATGTATTACAGATAACGAGAATTGAATGTTAGACAAACTATTGGTTATTGGTCAAGAGTCTTAAAAACTAATCTGATAACTGGGATTAAAGTGTTTAAAAGTCTTTATTCAGAAGTCCAATTCTTCCTCATCAAACCTTTTCAAATTCATTTAGGTAATGGTTTTGGAGTTAAAAACTAGTGTATATTATATGATAAAACACTTACAAATATAACATTCATTATTATTATTTCAAATTCTATATAGATTTGTTAGATGCCTTTTTAGTAGAGAATCTGAAATTCTTCTAGTATTTGTTAATTAAACAACTTCATGTTTTTATATATTTTCAAAGATATAATCATATAGAATCTCAACTAATTTATTCTTAATGTATGCATTCCGTTCTCATGATTTATAATAATCAATGAAATCCAAATACTTAAATTCAAGTTTCCAAACATAACATGAGAGACAGAGAAAACAAATTACCATGAATAACATCACCAAAATTTGCAAAAGCTTCACGAAGTTTTTGGTTTGTAGTTCTTCCGCTAAGACCTGAAAACCCCAGCAACAGCAATGATTGCGATGCAAGGAAAGATAAATTTCAATGAATTATGATAAATAACAAAACAAAAGGATTACCAGAGACAAAGAGGGTCGTTGAAGGTGGAATTTGTTCAGCAACCCGAGCTGCTTTAGCGGCAACGGCAGCGGCAGCTAAAGGCTGATGGAATAAACTCGAATTTGTTGAAAAAAATGGACTCAAATTCCCACTTCTCACAGCCATTTTTATTCCTCCTTGAAAACCCCACATCAAAAGGATTTCTGCTTCGATGTATAAAAAGATATATGGCCTAATGGGTTTTAACCTCAGAATCGGAGCGATGATGTTTAGTACCCGTTTCCTTCCTTAAAGCGTTGTAAATATATTTTTGGTAAACTACACAGTTGGTAGCCCAAGTATAAAATATTTTGTTTTGGTCACTCAAATTCAAAACTTTCAAAATACCTCTGAATTTATTTTTCGTTTTCATTTTAGTCACCCCATGGTAAAATCTGTTTTTGTTTTCAATTACAAGAATTTGAATATGATTTTAGTGGTCATTTTGTAAGTTTTTAATCTGAGTGACCAAATAAAAATTATAATTAGATGAAAAACTATATAATTTATCCTATTTTTTGGGAATGGCTGTACAAAAATTTGGCTAACCCCACTTACTTCGCAAAGAATGAGGAAGCCTGAGACATTTTATTCGGTTTCATTATCTGAACATTTGGAAGCAACAAAATAAACGAATCTTTTATTTAAGATATTATCGAAAGAGAAACAATTTTGAAAAAAAGTAGAAGGCTAGTTGAGGAAACAATCAGAGCTGATACAACAACAGGGATGCTCGACTCAATTCAGGATACACTACAGCAAAAGTATTCTGTAGCGGCGTTTTAAGGGCAAATGCCACAAATTTTAAGCATGTAGCGGCGTTTACAATATAAACGTCACAAAATGATACTTTAGCGATGTTTTTTCAACAAACACCGCAATAGATTGGTAATTTATAGCTCAAACGTCGGAATAGAGTTGTTTATAGTGACGTTTTTTCAACAAACGACGCAATAGAATAGTAATTTAGCGACGTTTTTGTAAAAACGCCGTAATAGGGTTGTTTATAGTGGCGTTTGTTCAACAAATGACGCTATAGAGAAGTAATTTAGCGGCGTTTATCAAACAAACACCTCAATAGAGTTGTTTATAGTGGCGTTTGTGCACAAAACATCGCAATAGAGTATTAATTTAGTGGCATTTGTCCTACAAACGCCGCAATATGTTGTTTATAGTGGCGTTTTTATAAAAACGTCTCAAAAACATGTATTACAGTGGTGTTTGTTTAAAAAATGCCACAAAAGGGTCAATATATGCTCCACCCTTTTCTCCTGCCTAATCCCTAAAATCATTTCAACGCTACTTCCCTAAAAGGGATTTCTCTAGTACAACAACGGCCCTCACACGATTCCAGGCGACGTCGTCTTCTGTATGTCCCGACGACCAAATTGGCCCTCTCACTAGCAAACAGTTATCTCACGATTGCACGGTTTAATCCTTTCTCTTACTACTGAATTTTTTCATTTATTTTTTGTTGGTATTTTGAAAATGGGAAAAATCCAGAAAGCTAACGTAATGGAGAAAAATAATAGCTTTCGAATAGGAAAAAAATATCTATACATATTGTTTTACTGGTTTACTGCTTGGGAGAAGTGTTTTTTGCTTTCGAATAGAAAAATATTTGCTTTCGAATAGGAAAATAATAGCTTATGAAAACGTGAATATCTATACGAAGAGCAGGTGTTGCATTCAGTAAGAGAAAATATCGTTGAAATGTCGACGTGGCATCTTTGCTCTGACGATGGATCAAATTATCATTGGGAGGTTATCAGTCCGAACTTGCCGTTGAAACTCGATGATGACCCAAAAGGCCCTCTTATTGCAAAATTCCCTTCCATGGCTGATCTCCTAATTAAAGTTAATAATTAATCGCTGAAAGTTTATGCCACTATATTTTTATTTTGTACTCTAAAATTTCATAGATCGCACGCATGTAGGATGTTCAAAGCTTATTGAGAACGATGATAGAGGAGTAAATAAATACCCGATGTTTAGAACCAAAATTGGTAACTCTGTAGCGTTGAAAGAATCTTCAATTGCAAAAGCAATATATATATCCTCAATGAAGACGATGTTGCCTCCACTGATACTTCAAGTAAACGTTTCTATATTTTATTTAATTTTTTTAATATTTGCTTCAGTTCCAAAGCCACCTCCAATCAAGTTTCATACTGTAGGTAGAAGGTCGTTATCTGTTTCAAGTGAAGCACTGCAGCACGTAAGGAGTCTTCTAGGTGAATCGGATTTAGGGGATTTCATTGAGACGGGAAGAATTGGATGTGATGAAGAGTGAAATGGAGAAGCAACAAAGTTTTACAAGTTGCTGAATGAAATGAATGAAAAACTTTATGAGGGATCAAAGTTTTCAAAGCTTTCTTTTTGCATTCGTCTTTTCCACTTAAAAATGCCTGGGAGAGTGGACTGGTAACTCCTTTACGCAATTGTTGGAGTTACTATGAGAAGTGTTTCCTTTTACAAAAATCCCTCAATCATGCAAAGATATGAAGAAAATGATAAAAGATTTGGGTCTTGGATATGATAAAATTCATAGTTGTCCGAATGATTGCATGTTGTATTGGGGTGATCGAAAAAATCAGGAGTCTTTTCATGTATGCAGAAAATCTCGATAGATGACTAGGGAGGCAGAAAATGTTACTGAACATGAAGCTCAAGCACGATCAAGAAAGAAACCGGTCAAGATTCTGCTATATTTTCCTCTCATACCTAGGCTACAAAGATTGTTTATATCCTCCAAGACTGTTGAGTCTATGAGGTGGCATCATGATTCTTTAGCTTGGAAGTCATTTGACAACAAGTATTCAAGTTTTGCGAGAGATCCTCGAAATGTCAGGCTCGGTCTTGCAACCAATGGCTTTAATCCATTTAAAATAATGAGTACTTCGTATAGTACTTGGAATGTTTTACTTGTTCCATACAATTTGCCTCCCTGGATTTGCATGAAACAATAATCTTTCATCTTATCCATGGTAATCTCTGACGAGAAAGGCCCCAGAAATGATATTCATATTTACATACAGCCGCTAATTGTAGAGTTGAAACAGTTATAGGAAGGGGTCGAAACGTATGATGTGTTGACGAATGAGAACTTTAATTTACGCATGACTTTATTATGGACAATTAATGATTTTCCTGCTTATGCAAATTTATCTGGTTGGAGTACCAAAGGTCGTTATGCTTGTCCTTGTTGTGTTGCACAAACATGTTCGAAGTGGTTGGTTAATGGAAAGAAGTTCTCTTATATGGGACATCGGCGGTGGTTACCTGATAATTATAGATTTAGATGTCAAAAGAATATGTTTGATGGTGATGAAGAGTTTCGAAATGCTCCTGACCAAACAACCGGGTCTGAAATATTCATAATGTTGAAAAATATCAATTTTACTCATGGAAAGATGAATCAACCAAGTAGTACACGATCAAAGAAAAAGGCAAAGCAGGTCAATGAAGAGGTTGAAGTTGACCAACAAAGTGATGATAAGTCTGATGAAGAGGATGATCCAAATGAGGTAGACTTGTGGAAAAAGATGAGTATATTCTTCAAGCTGCCTTATTGGAAGAAGCAGATTTTGAGACATAATCTTGATGTAATGCATATTGAGAAGAATGTTTGTGAGAATATTATCAGGATCATTCTGAATGATGACAGAAAATCTAAAGATAATCTTAAGAGTCGACTTGACTTAGTGGACATGGGAATTCAACATGATCTTCATCCGCAATTACATCCGAAAGGAAGATATTTCTTACCGCCTTCTATTTTGTCTCTTTCGAAGAAAGAAAAAGAAGTGTTTTGCACGGTGTTGAAGGATATAAAGGTCCCAGATGGGTATGCATCAAACATTTCTCGATGTGTCAGTGTTAAAGATTGAAGACTTTATGGTTTAAAGTCACATAATTATCACATATTAATTCAAGATTTACTGCCAGTAGTTGTTCGCGGTTGCATGTCGAGTAAGGTGACGTCTTGTATCATTGAACTTTCTAATATAATGAAAGCCATCTGTGGGAAAGTTCTCATGGTTGAAGAACTTGATAAACTACAAGATCGAGTCGCTTTGACTTTATGCAACTTTGAGAAGATATTTCTTCCTTCATTCTTCACAATTATGGTGCATCTGCTAATTCATCTTCCTCATAAAGTAAGAGTTTATGGATTAGTTTTCTATCGATGGATGTACCCTATAGAGAGGTGTTAATTGAATTATACATTTCAAATTACTTGTAACACCCTAACTCGTACCCGACCCGAATACGAGTCCGAGGTGTCACATTGACCGTTCAAAACGTTTACTTTGACAAAATCCAATGAAATTCAGTTAGACATTTCCAATAAAACCCAAATAATTTCTATAGTATAAAACGTATAGTTTTACAAATTGATCAGAGCGTTTCCAGTACAAATCTTTTATCTTACATGCCAACTATATTTCATATGACAAAATACATAATTTAAACCTATTTCTGATCTGAATTGTGGAAAGGAGAATCTGGCATGTCTTGCTCCTCTAAACTTCTCTTCTTGCTTTCCAGAACCTACGTGTGAAACACTCATACACTAAGTCTATGACTTAGTGAGGCATTAAACACATGTTTTAAAACTCATTTTATCACTTCATATCTCTTAATTTAACCCTTGACAAGTCAAATTCAACTTCAAAATCTATTAACTCCTTCTATTTCACTAATTCACTTAAAAACTCTTCATATTTAATCCTTCGTAACTCATCCATTTTGAAGTTTCAACAGGTTTTAATCGCTAAATAATCTTTCTTAGCACCCCAAGAATCAAAACTAAGCTTAAAACTCAAGAATTAACCAACTGAAATTAAGCTTTCCTTTGCCATGGAGCTTACGGGAAGAGAAGAGGAATGAGACAACCCAAACTCTAGACTTTTCTTTTTCTTTCTCACTCTTTCCACGTGTTTTATAAGCTCAAAAGAAAGATAAAAATCTTTCTGGTCAAATGACCATTTTACCCTTTAATTCATTCAATAATTACCAAATAACCTTCATCATATATTTCTAATAAATCATTGAACTATTCAATTATCCTACTTTAATAACCAATTTCTGAAATTTTTCAATCTAGTCACTAACCCGATATTGAGGATGTTACAAATCCCCCCTCCTTTAAAGAAAATTCGTCCTCGAATTTTCACTACACA